TTTAAATTGGTTGAAGCTTGTTTTAAAATCTTGGGGGGGGGGGGGGGGGGAATTTTTTTGAAAAAAATAGTATATATACCACGGTAGAGAAGTCTATTATTGCCTTCGCACCTTACACCCCTCGGCGCAAGCGCCTCGAGATGTAATCTTGGTGCTCAGGCAATAATACTGTACTTCTCTACCTTGATATATAATGTACTATTATCGCGCGTTTAAATTCCGTGCGATGCACTTTTTCTATGCATAATCTTTTCTAGGTACGATGTTATAGAAATTAGGTCAAACAAATACGTGTGCATGAGACAATTTCACGCTTAATATTTTTTTAGGGAAAACGCAACATGAAAAATTGCACATATTTGACTCGGGTGCATTTACAATAACGTCGCCGCATTTTTTCGTTATGTATATATTTAATAATAACGATTATCATAGATGTGTTAATGCCAAAAACATTGCATTCGTAGGTAATTCGACGTTTTAAGAATAGCTAATTAGTTGTAGGTGCAAATTAATGCGCACCATTGGAAGTGCAGTAGATACGCGTTTTATTCATTTTGCTTTACGAGAAGTTCCTAGAGCTAAAATTAATAATTCCCATTGAGGGTAAAATGCCTATTATTTGCGTTTTATGTCTATTTAAATGTAGGGGAACCCGGGGCAAAGTGGATAGGTTAAGGCCAAAAAATCCATAAATTGATGAAAACAACATTTTAAATAACGGTACTGTGTTTATATGATAAATATAGGATTCCTTTACAAACTGGTGTAACATAAGGATCATAATGAGAGCATATATTTTACTGCGATTTTTTTTGTGATGATAACATTTTCTTCCACTTTGCCCCATATACGGGGCAAAGTGAAATTTAAAATGGGGCAACATGAAAATACTTTATTTACAGAAAAATCTCAGTCTTGTTGATACAGTTTTACAAAAATTTAATTTTACCATAACGGAGCAGTTCATAAGAGTGAAGACGACCAATTATCTCATTCAAAAACACCTCACTTTCGTCGGGAATCGCAGGAAAAACGTAAATATTTTTGCTTTGTCTGTATTCTCGCATAAATTTTACATTTATTCGGTTTTTCTTTGCACACATCACTTGTGCAACAAATCGTTTTTTAGTTTTCTTGGCCTCATCTTGTAAGTCTATTAACACATAATCGTTAGGATGAATATCAGCAACACTGACTGTGGAATAATGCAGTGGTCTGTCTTCTTCGAAGCTCAACTCACTTTCATTTTCAGCATCTGGAGATTCTGAAGAATCCGCGTAACTAATAGTTTCATTAGAACCTGAAAGGTCTGATTCTACAAATACTTTCTTCTCAGTGTTCTTATTCTCTTGTTTTCTCTTCACAGGACAATTATTTATTTTTGGGCTACTGGATATTTTGCGCTTAACCGCCTTTGTAGGAATTTTCGGAGTTGAATGTTTTTCTTTGATTTCCTCCATGTTTGGAGTGGACGTCAAGATCATAGTCTTCCCTCGATTCCGGTTTGTTCTTTGTTTAAGTTGAACATCGGCCTTTGGAATAGGTAAAATTTCTTCTGGTGCCAATAGCTTTTGTGACTTTGATTGTGGCTTATCTGGAATGCTTGAGGTTGTAGCTGCTGGTGGTGGGGTTGTATTATTTACTTCTTGAATCAAGTTTTCTAACGCAGCTGGCGGTGTTGGAGGAAGTTCTCTATTTGTTGTCTCAGATGGTTCGAATAAGTCATCTGGGAAGATGTGAGGATTGTATGGGAATATTCCTGTATTTTGAAACCCGCTTGTTGCATTCTGTTGAGTCGATGCACGTTGATATGCTTTACCAAATAGAGCTCCAACATTATGGATAGTTACAACCTTTCCGGGATGGTTTCTTTGCCACGCCCTCACCTCTTGCTCGTAAAAAGCACTCAATGGGAACATATACGATACATCCAAGGGCTGTAACCTATGAGAGGTATGTGGCGGTAAAATCAGGATATGCACATTGGTAGATTTAGCTAATTCCATCATCTCTATATTTTTTGTGTGCGTTGCATGGCCGTCCATTATTAACAAAACGGGATCCGTGTTGGTGGGTTTTGCATACCTTACAAAATGTTTAAACCACACTACAAATATGTCAGTTTGCATCCATCCGGAGGGATGACAAACGACTACACTGTCAGGTGGTAAACCAACATCAAATAGTGGATTCAGGCGTACTCTTGGGAATATTAATAAAGGTGGAATATAATGTCCACTGGCACTAACGCAGATCTCTGCAGTAACTAACGTTCCTCGTTCAGCAGACGAGAGGGATCCTATCTGTTTTTTTCCCTTCAAAGACAAAATTTTACTTGGTTTGTTGGGGACTGTTGAAAGACCAGTTTCGTCGCAATTGTAAATCTGACTGGCAGTGAAGTGGTATTTGTCCATTAACTCGCCTAACAATGCAAAGAAGTTTGCCACATTTGGTCGGTTAAATGCTGCTGCCCTAGCTGCAGAAGTCTTTTCCGGCAAACGTAAGGATATTTCCGGATTCCGTTTGAGAAAATTTGACACCCAGTCCTCGCCAGCTAAAGCAGTTTTCTTACAAAATGAATGCGGTATCCTATTTAATTCTGCGTATTGGTAGGCTAGAGACCTGAAGTCTCGCATACTTAAACCAAAAAGCCGTTTTTCCATAAGTAAAATGTAGTCCCGTAGCTGCTGTTCTTGCTCCTTGGTAAACGTAGGTCGATACCTCCCTAGTTTTTTCTGCGAAGCTTCCTCAGCTGAACTATTTAATTTCATTTTCCTATATAGTGTAGTGAGGGGAACATCATATGTTTTGGCTGCCATTGCAACACTTAAGTTTCCTGCTTTACAATCGCTGATTGCATTCTTCATACCTTCCTCGCTCCACGAGTGTTGAGTACTCTTTCGTTTATATTTACGGACCATGCTCGTCTAAAATGTACACCATATTAATATTTACATAGATATGATGCAAGTTTTAAATATTAAATATCCAGGGGCAAAGTGAAAACTAGTTTCAGTTTGCCCCATTTAAAATTTTTCACTTTGCCCCATTGTGCATCATAACAAAAGTAGGTTATCTTTTGCTCTCTTCCTTTACTTTCCAATATCAAATGGTTACGGTTATTTGTACAATAGTCTAGTATAATTAATAAACACATACAAAGTTATCGTGAATATTGTTTATACAGAAAAAATTGAAAAAAACTTACCATGAAAAGTTACAACATGTGCACCACAAACCACAAATGACAGAGTAAAATGATTGGAGGTTAGTGTGGAAGTGATTCCGCTACATATAATCTATGGTGCCTCTATTACGCATATATTTCACAAAAATTCGTGTAGATGTCGGTACAAATATCAGATGTATAATTAATTTTCACTTTGCCCCGGCATTTCACTTTACCCCGGGTTCCCCTACGCTTCACCTACATGATTAATTAGCATGTCATTTATATTATAAAGGTTTTTGGTATAAAATTTTATAATCGATCAATCGAACACATAATCAACCAAATAATTAGAAATTATGATTTGCATTCGAATGCATAAGAATCTGGCCTTTGCATTTAATATTTTTGTTATTTGCTAGGGTAAATGGACCAGTCCACTTGTCAATTAAAATAAGAAATACAATGTATACAAATCTTTATTTTCCTCTATCAATAAGTACGTCAAGTAGGTCGTTGTAATTCATAATTCGTGCTTATTAGCTTGAACACACTTAATTTTTTCGGCATCCTCCTGTATTGCGCGTTGGACTTCTTGGCTTTAGTTGTATTTTATTCAATTCTCGCTGTACATCTAGCACTTCAAAATCCCACTTCAACTTTTAAATTTTACTTAGTAAATCGTCTATTCCTTGTCTCTGTCTGCTCACTTTCGCAGTTATCCTATTTACTTTTGACATGCTTACTGGTACCTATTCTTTATGAATATGACTTCTACGGTGCTCTGGTAAACCGTTTATACGCACCATTACCCAAGAAATAAACCACGATCGAGTTACAACCTTCAATGAGCATAGTTCAGAACCACTTTAGTTTTCACAATCGACCTGTTACCTACAAGGCAACGATCACAACTACTCTAGGTCCTGCTTGACCCAAGTTCAGAACCATTTGACCTTGACGTTCATAACCACTTTAGTTCAGGCAAGAACCGCCGTCAACGTTTGACTTTTCAGTGACAATTTTAGCAGAGTTTCAAACCCACGTCCACGTTTCACCTTCAGTGACATTGATTTTAGCAGAGTTTCAAACCCACGTCCACGTTTCACCTTCAGTGATATTGATTTAGCAGAGTTTCAAACCCACGTCCACGTTTCACCTTCAGTGACATTGATTTAGCAGAGTTTCAAACCCACGTCTACCTTTGACCTTCCAGTGACATTGATTTTGAATCGGCTATGCTATACTACTCGCATTCGTAGTAGAAAATTGTTGGATACAGAGGCGATACCAATGGACTACCAAAGAAATCTACCAACACCCAATATCTCAACAAATGACGTATATTATAAACGTCAATTGTCGTTTTATTCCTTCAACATTCATAGACTATCTGATGCCGACTTTGTGTTTTACACGTATCCACAGGAAATTGCAAAGAAGGGATCAAACGAGGTATGCTCCTTTGTGCAAGACTATATTACTCATCATCTTCCACAAAACATCAAACATTTAAATATTTTTTGCGATTCTTGTGCTGGACAAAATAAGAATTTTACAACTTTTCGATATTTCCATTACTTGGTTCACCGTTCAAACAGATTTGATAGTATTAGAGTTACGTTTCAAGTTAGAGGACATTCTTACATGGAATGCGATAAGAATATGGGATTATATGCTCACCCCGCCCTCAAGATCACTCAATGTAGTACCCCTACTTACCCGCCAGAATTCGCACAATTTACAGCCAATTCAAAAAACGCGCCAATTCCAGGACTGCCTCCTAGCCCTCAAAATGGCCAACTTCATTACTCTGCTGTGCGCGCCAGATTGCACGCGTGTTTAGGTTAGGTAAAAAATTTTCTACTTTGTTGGTGAAAATAGGTCGTCGAAGGAAGCGTTCGCCTTCAGTTTCCGATTCCTCTGAAGATGAGGTTCGGTATCGTGTAAGGAAGTTGAGAGAAGCTTTTGAGCGCCGTGAGCGTCATCTTGCTCGTGCTAGAGATCACTTTAATTTCCCTGCGGAGCCCCCTTCTTCGTCGCTTGCTTCTGAAGCTGGGGCTGTAGAAGAGACGGCGGAGGGAAGTGAGTTTATTAGCTTATTGGTACATTTTATGTTTAAGATTAGTGGTTGACTCGGACCTCTTTTGAGGTTATTCATCGTTCGTTTAAAAAATTGTTGGTTTTTCAATTTGAATTGAGACTGTTGACTAAGGATTTGTATCCTTTTAGTTCCTGACCCGGTGGGCAGTGAAGGTCGAGAGGCAGTGGTGCCGCTAGACGATGGAATTCTGAAAATTCTGGGACGACAGGAGTCATCGAGCATTAACTCAGAAGTTATTCACCGAGATTTGGCTGAGATTTGGGGAAAAATCCTTCAATCTGGGTTAACCGAGGATGCTCGTTCAGCCATTATGGCAAAGTATCCTTTGATCTCAAATTGTCCCCTTTTGGAACCCCCAAAAGTGAACCGTGAGGTTAAAAACTCTGTCTCCGAAGCTACGTTGGCCCGAGACTCTCGATTGATGGCTATGCAGAGCAGAATTTGTTCAGCCCTCTCGGCATTAGGAAGTGCTATCAACATTCTTCTGATTGAAGATGAAGATACGAGTCGCCTGTTGGTGGAAAAGTGCAGTGATGCAGCTCGCCTGATCGCCGACCTTCATCATGAACAATCACAAGCCCGTCGAATGATCTTGAAAGGTGCTCTTAACAAGGACCTGGCTGCTACTTTAACTGAAGTCTCGGTGGATGGTTGGTTATTTGGCGATAACTTGAGTGATCGTATTAAGGCAGCAAAAGCCTTAGACAAGACTACGGTGGAATTACGTGCTCGTTCAGCTTCCAATCCAGTAGCTCCTCGGGCTGTGCCTTCGTTAAACTTCCGAGGTCCCCCTCGATTTGCAATGAAACAGCAGGCTCGTCAAGGTGGACCGCGTACCCAAGTTCAGAGCCTAAGATCGCAGATCAAGAAATCGTTGACAACCAGGTCTGCTCCGTCCTTCCGTCCTCAGCGGTTTCCTCCAGCATCTCGAGAGGAGCGTTTTCACCGGCCGTCGAGACGCCATTGAGGCCTCTAATTCAAAAGGCAGGTAGTCTTAATTTATATATTGACTTTTGGAAGTCTTTAACAAAGGATAACCTTTTATTGTCCTGGATTCAAGGCCTCAAAATTCCTTTTGTAAGCATTCCTGTTCAGCCTTATTTTCCCAGGGAGCCCTGTTGGTCTCCTAGGGAGAAATCTAGTTTGAATACTATTATTAAGGAAATGTTAGACTTTCAGGCTAATTCAGAATGTCACTCTTGTGAGGGACAGTTTCTGTCATCCTTTTTTCTGGTTCCCAAACCAGACGGTTCTCACCGATTCATTTTGAATTTAAAAATGCTTAATAAATATTTGGAGCCACCACATTTTAAACTGGAAAATTTTTCCCTAGTATCTAGTTTGTTGTGTCCTGGAGGTTACATGGCAACAATAGATTTAAAAAGCGCTTATTTTATGGTCCCGGTAGACCCGCTTTTTAAGAAATATTTACGATTTAGGTTCAATAATATTTTGTATGAATTTAATTGTATGCCTTTTGGCCTGGCAATTGCCCCGTGGGTATTTACAAAATTGATGAAACCTGTTGTGACCAAATTAAGATCTATGGGTTTTTTATCAATTGTTTATCTTGACGATTTTCTTGTATTTGGACAATCTCGTGAGTCTTGTGCAGAAAATGTTTTTCAGACTTGCCGTTTATTACAGAAATTAGGTTTCATTATTAATGAGAAGAAAAGCTTTTTTGAGCCTAGTACTCGTTGTACCTTTTTAGGTTTCGTAATTGATTCTATGTCAATGCGAATTGAAATTCCTGTTTCTAAACAAGATTCTATTTTAGTTTTGTTAGAGAAATTTACTACACGCTCTCATTGTAAGATTCGAAAATTTGCTGAACTATTAGGGAAATTGGTGTCTATTTGCCCAGCAACCAAGTATGGTTGGGTTTATACTAAACAACTTGAACGTGCTAAGTTTTTAGCCTTAAAATCTTGTAATGGCAACTTTGATGAATGGATGCACATTCCTCTTTGCGTTATTGAAGATTTGAATTGGTGGAGAAAAAAGATTCGAATTTCGTTTTGTCCTCTCAGAAACTTCCCTTCGGATACGGTTATTTTTACAGATGCTTCTAAGACCGGTTGGGGGGCAGTTTGTGGAAATGATAAGACTCATGGTCATTGGAATGATAAGCAAAAAGTGAAACATATAAATTACCTAGAATTATTAGCTGTTTATTTAGGTATAAAACACTTTACCAAAGATTTGTCTAATCGTAATATCCTCTTGAGGATTGATAATACAACTGCGGTCTCTTATGTAAACAGAATGGGAGGGGTTCAGTTTCCTGAACTCAACAGTCTTGCCCGGTCTATCTGGCAGTGGTGTGAGAAACGTAATTTATGGGTTCTTGCATCTTACATCACTTCGGCATATAACTGGGAGGCAGATTACGAATCTCGGCGGTTATCTGCAGAAACTGAATGGGTTTTATCTTCTGAGGCCTTTGTTAAGGTAGTGACAGCTTTTGGCTCTCCTGAAGTTGATTTATTTGCAAATAAAGACAACAAGAAATGCTCCTTTTACGTGAGTTGGCAGAGGGATCCTGCGGCTTTAGCCATTGATGCGTTTACTTTAGTCTGGTCAGATTATTTCTTTTACGCTTTCCCACCTTTTTCCTTAATTCCTCGGGTATTACGGAAAATCGTTGAGGACAAAGCCCAAGGGATTGTTATTGTGCCCTTCTGGCCAAGTCAGCCGTGGTATCCCTTGTTTTCTTCACTTTTGTGTAGTAAGCCTGTGGTTTTGGAACCAAATACTAATCTTTTGTCTTTTCTTAACAGGAGACACCCGCTAGAGCCCAAACTTTCCCTGGTGGCAGGACTGTTATCAGGGAGGCTTTTCTAAAGAGGGGTGTTCCAGAGTCAGCAGTTCGGATCCTGGTTTCGTCTATTACAACATCCACGTTGCGACAATATGAAGTTGCACTTAAAAAATGGTGGAACTTCTGTTCACAGAGATGTGTGGATCCCTTCACAAAGGACGTTTCCTTGGTTCTGGATTTTTTAGCTCTCCAGTTTGATCAAGGGATTGGTTATAGCACCATTTGCTCAGCTCGTTCTGCGCTATCTTTGCTTATTTCCCCTGAAGTGGGAGAAGATGCAAAAGTCAAGCGACTCATTGAAGGAGTTTTTAACTTAAGAGCTCCCGCTCCCAAATATAATTCGACATGGGACCCGGGACTTGTGTTACAATATTTGGGATCTCTTTACCCTAATAATGTTATTTCGATACAGTTATTGTCAGTTAAACTGATAACGTTATTAGCCTTGGTAACGGCTCACCGCTTACAGACCTTTTCGGTTATTCAAATTACTAACATAGAGCACAAGGCAGATGGAATAGAAATTAAGATTCCTGCTCGTATTAAGACCTCTTCGATAGGGAATTGTCAGCCAGCTTTATTTCTTCCGTTTTTTGTGGACAAACCTGAGGTGTGCGCTGCTTCTGCACTGGAGATGTATCTTAGTAGAACTAAACCTATTCGTGGAACACTGGACAAGCTATTTGTAAGTCTTCGCAAACCTTATAGAGAAATCTCTGCTCAGACGTTGAGTCGTTGGGTAAAGATTGGGCTGAAAAATAGTGGAATAGACACAGATAGCTTCTCTGCTTATAGTACTCGACATGCTGCAGTGTCGGCAGCGAACAGAAAAGGAGTTCATCTGGATGTGATTCGTAAAACTGCTGGGTGGTCGCAAGATTCTAACATGTTTGCCCGATTTTATAATCGACCATTGGCAAACCGTGGGGTTTTTGCCAGAGCCATATTAAAAACTTGTTAGTTTATTTATACTGTTATTTACACTCAGAATGTGTATTTGGTTTTCATGTATTGATTTTATTTCTTTCGAAATAAAGTGTTATTCAGTCGCAATGTACTTTAAACATCTACATTGAGTGATCTTGAGGGCGGGGTGAGCATATAATTATTAGATTAAACGAACTTACCTGTGAAGTTTGATCATAATTATATGACTCACCCCGCCTGAAATGATCACTCCCTCCCTTCCCAATTATTGATTATCCCCTGATCATTTCTTTTGCGACTGATCGGGCTTTGAAGTAATGAAGTTGGCCATTTTGAGGGCTAGGAGGCAGTCCTGGAATTGGCGCGTTTTTTGAATTGGCTGTAAATTGTGCGAATTCTGGCGGGTAAGTAGGGGTACTACATTGAGTGATCATTTCAGGCGGGGTGAGTCATATAATTATGATCAAACTTCACAGGTAAGTTCGTTTAATCTAATAATTAATCAATACAAAAACTAGAGCTGAATTACCTAAAGATTGGGTACAGGTCCTCAAGACAGCTCGAGTTAAACCATCCCCTTTCAAAATCGACAAAAGTACACGATCTGCGATTGTTAGTAGTATAGCTCGTCACATAATTAGACATTCAGCACGTGCTAATTGTGTGCTGCTCCGTAGCAGGTGTATTCCAGGCTTTAAAGCGCTATATGAGATTTTTATATTTCTAGAAACACGGTTGGAAGTTATTGAAAACTGGAAGGGGTTAGGCACAGAGCGTGTGCGAAAATTACGGATGGTTCTAATTACAGCCGTCCTTGTCCAGAATTACTTCATATTAAAGAGGGGAAAAAAAATTAAGCTGGGTTTGTTACCAAATGGGCTTTTAACCAAAAAGATACTTATTGTTAACAAACGCAAACTAAAGGTCATCAATAGTTGTGCATTTGACGCCGTTGTTCAAGCTGTTGCAGCTGCGTACTGTGATTGTGAACAATATAAAACCTTTATAGAAACCAAAAGAGATAAAATTACAGAGCTTATACAGTGTTTGGTTTCTGGGAACAAAAATAATAGTTACAGTATTCGGACATCATTGTTTTCCAGAAAAAAGTACTTATTTCAATACTTTACACATTAATTAACGATACAACAGTCATTAGTTGCGAATGCAATGTATGAATATTATCACATACTTTTACGAAAATTATTACAGCGCTTTTGATAAGCAACAATGCGTTAGAAAGGGTTGCAATGTAAAACAACCCACCATTCCTATGGACACAGTTCCTATTAATGTAAATTATTTAACAAATAATTTCGTCACGCTCGGCGAAGCAATCGAAAATGGGTATTTAAGGTGATGAACTCTCTAGCATTGTAACAACAACAACAAAAATTGCAGAAACAATGCAAAACAAAACGACAGAACCGACAAACGTAAATAACACATTTTCTCAATATGTATATAGCCGGCTACAAGAGATGGATCCAAAGGTAGCCAAAACAAAAAGAAGAGAGATGCTTGTAATATTAGAATCATAATAATTATTAGCTTGAAGTGTATCTCTTCATATTATTATTTATTAGTTGATTTGATGTGTAAGCAAGACTTTGGGACCATTGTATGTAATTAATATATTTTAATTTAAAAAAAGTTGAAAGTATGGTTGTTTTAATTATAACATTTACAATATTTAAGAATACAGATATAATTTTAGACTTGCCAATCCACTTTTCCGGCATCTGACATAAAATAACCACACAACAAATTTCTTATAAGCAACACTTTTTGCAACATTTGATCTCATTCTACCTACGCTTCTCATTACATTTTCACTTTCTGCCCTCCAGGCTCTTCAAGATCAGAATCTACATAGCCGACTGGGCAATACAAATTTTCAGCTGTAGATTCCATTTTTAGTTTGCAGTAGTTGTGGAGTACTACAACTGCCTTTACAATTTTCTCTATATTTTCGACTTTAGCAATTATTGTTGTTTTTAGTATCCTCCATCTAGTAACAAGAATTCTGAATGTATTTTCAATGCACTGCCTAGCTCGGGACAAACGATAATTAAACATTTTTGCTACAAGCTTTAATTTTTACCAGGCATAATATATTCTTTCAATGGAAAGGCCTCATCCCCAACAAAAAAAATATGGCATGCATAGCTAGGGCTCTCCCGTAGACCCGTCTCTCCCCGTTCGCGGCGGCAAACGACGTTTACCTACGGCCCAACACGCGCCCCGCCTTTCCCTTCCTTCGTCTAAACCTAATAAAAAAACGGCGATCTTTGCGAAAACGTAGAACTATACAAAATAGTGATTCACTACCATTATATTCCACCCGAAATACTTGTTCAATAAAAAGTAAAACTAAACGTTACCACCAAATTAGTTACTTTTTATTTCCAAACTGTATAGGCACGGTAGACAGAAAGCACATGGATAAGTTGCATGAGTCTCGGAAGAGGAGGATCACATTTCTTAATTATAAACAATTCTGTAGATGCAAATCTACGTTTTGTCATCATTGATTTCGGCGCATACCAGAAAGAAGGAGACTCGACGGTATTTCAAGACAGTCCATTAGGCAAGCAACCTCGTTGTTTACCGAGAAAATTCTCCAACCCTTTATTCAAGCTTTGAAATCTCTTGAAGTCATATCCGTCCAGAACTTGAATGCTACGAAAAGAGTTTTCAATTACATTACATGAAGGTGCAGACTCAATGTGGAGTGCGCCTTTGAAGTAATGGCAAACAAGAGGATATGTTTCATACACCCATTCTAGTGCAACGAAATTTCATTGATAAAATAGTGCAAGTTTGTTGCATTCTCCACAGTTTTGTTCGCAAGAGAGATGCTATCAATGAAGGTATGAAGATACTGAAACACCCATTAATTTGACGAAGTTCATAATTTGGACAAAGGCTCGCGTAACCGAGGGTTGGATGTTCGAGACTTTGCGCAGTATTTTAGGGAGCATTACATTTCCAGAGAAATTACATGACTTAGGGTGGAATTCATAGATATTACTTAAGTTACACTTACACTTTACTCATATTTAGCGCGTTTCAAAGATATAGTTAAGGTGACGCATGACATTATTGCTATAGTAACGCGCGAAATTCGGACAGATACTAGCAGTAAATATAAGTTCCACTTAAACTAAACTAAGTGTGCACTTAGTAAAGTGTAAGTCTAACTTAAGTAATGTCTATGAATTCCACCCTAAGATTCCACATTTTTGGGCTTTTTGTAATTACAAACTTGGATAATATTTGATTTTAAGACCGGTTTGCACGAAGCCAGTAAAGAAGCAAGTCAAGTGAGTAACTTGTTACAAGTTTCTAGGTCTGTATAAACATCTACTTGTCGTGGGACCACGGGAACGCTCTTCAGAAGTGCTGCACTGCAAGTATGATAGTTTTATTACAAATACGGGGTGAATATGAATACTTGAATTTTCCAGGATTAAAATGTGACCGCCAAGGTGGAATCATAACACAACAACCAAATTTAATGGAACTTTACGTACAACAGGGCTGTTTATGGAACATGAATTTAACAGCATTAAAGGGAATTGTGCAGGAAATGACAATTGAAGATTTTGTGGAGTAGAAGTTATACGGAAAATTAAAAGCGTAAAAACGTATCGGAAACAAGAAATCACAGTACTTAAATCCGAAAAATTAACACCACCAGCATATTTACCATAACGTTTGATTTCCGACACTTTGGGCACTGTCAGTGATTGGGGTTGCTCGATCACCAAAGCGGACATTCGGAGTGTGGTGGAAAAGTTTGTAAACAAACAAGGCAGAATTATTCCACAATGGGAAAACAATATACCGGGATATGATTTTGTAGAAGCGTTTGCAAAATGAAATGGACGCGTTCGCACCTCCAGATGCAGTATGGGGTCTTATGGACTAATTGCCTCTCGTACTAGTTTGCGTCATTCTTCGACAATACTATCCTTGTTTCTAACCGCATTGATGTCAAATTGGCATATGATTAAATTGAAGTATTAAAACAAAACATAATCTCCTTGTGCTGTCATTGTGTCGTTTGGCAAGCATGTACTGTATGCCCATAAGCACCATACTGCATCTGGAGGTGCGAACGCGCTATAGCAACCGCTTAAGCGTAGTTTACACGAGTCAAGTACCTGTTCAATTTACTTAAACAAGTAACTGGAATCCTGTAACTTGATTCGTATGAACAAATTTCAAGTGCGCGATCAAGACCTTGAACAGGTAGCCATGCAAGTCAAGCGACTTGAAACCCTTTCAACTTACTTGTTCAAGACAGCGTCCCCCACCAAGAAACGCAATGCTGGAATGTTGCTTGAACACCATACTTGCCTCATGTAAACAGTCGTTCAAGTGAATACGTTGTGCTTGCAGGTATTTTTGGGGCCGTTTTAGATATTATTAATCGATTTACGCAAGATGAGGTGGACTGAGAAGACAACAGTGAAACTTGTCGAGTTATACGAAGAAAATACATGTCTTTGGGATGTGTCGAGCATTAATTATAGAAATAAACAAATGAGAGATTCTGCTATTAACAAAATAATTGGTGATATGAATATAGAAGGTTTTGGCCCTCAAGATGTGAAGAATAAGATAAAAACTTTGCGTACGACATATTCCCAGGAACGTGCTAAAGTAGAGAAACATAAAAAGTCTGGTGCTGAAACAGACGATGTTTATACTCCTGCAATAAAATGGTTCCACATAATGAACAGATTCATCAAAAGTGTTGAAGCAAAGAGATCGTCGTAAAAGTAATTTGGTAGGTACAAAATAAATACAATAAATAATTCAATAGTAGAATATTACTAACCAAGGGACAACTATCATTATTGGCCAAGCGGCACTTGTTATTTTATTTCAAATAGTTTTTTTGATATAAAAAAAGGTTTACCAAAAAAAGGAGACCACAACCCAAAAAACCGTGCGATTTTCACAGCCAACGAAAAAAGCGCAAGTCATAAGTGATGTGCTGGTGGTGAAGCCCTCAACAACAACAACAAATTGCCTACATATAAAGCAGCAACCACCGCCGTTGCTACCAATGGGATCCATAGCGACGCCGATCCTACCCCCCGTGTTAGATGATCAATGCTCGATCATCACTATACATTCCGATGACGAGTCTGGGGCGCGACAAACCGAAATACGGTAAAATACATTTTTTACATTTGCAATTATTATAGATGGAATTGATTTCTTCGTGTGAATACTATATTGCATGTTTCATTACAGCGCGGGGACGGTGGAGGATCATCAGTTGTCGCAGCTGATGGATAAGTTGGATGCCAATTGTAGTACGGTGCAACAAAATCGGTAAATATTAATCAGTTGTATTGTCATAGTAGAAGATCACATGCAAATTAGTATGTAAGTATTAACGCGCGATTATATTTGTTGCAGAGTGTATCCGCCCCAAATTAAATCGCCTTCACCATCTCATCTGCCACCAGCCGCATTGCCAACGTCAAGGTGTCAGCAAAATGAACAATAGTAAGTTCAGTACAATATCTGAAATATATAGATACTTCGAATGCTCTATTCTTTTTATGCAGTACGACTTCCACGAGCATGACCGTAACAAAAAGCCCTGGCGGTAAGAGCATTGAAACCATGCTTCAAGTATACGGTGTCGGAAAACGAGTCCTAGAGGCCGATGAAGATATAATGGATTTTTCACAGCAGCGACACCGAAGCAGGTAGTGCCGGCAACGTATGTTCGCCTGCTAAAAATGGTGCCGAGTTAGGAACGCCCGCACCGTATGCTTGTGGCAAGGGACAACACCCAGCGGCTCAGCATGGAGTTAGCTGCTTCACGCGAAAATGAAGCAGCGATACAGGGGGAGGTGGAGTACATAAATAAGCTGATGACATTTTTAGTTAATAATTTGTAAATATTGTACCATAATAATAGATAATAATAATGATTGTAATAAAGGGTTATAGTATACGTTCGTTGTCATTTCCATTCACACACGAAAAGGGAAGATAAATAATGCTTAACTTTTTCCTCGTAAAAGATGTATGTATTCGATAATTAACTATTTTAATAGCACTAATACGCCTACGAAACCACCTGACTAAAAACGGGGCGTGCCGTGCCCGTGATGTCACCGGGCAAACGCCGTTTGTAGCAATTTTATAGCGGTTCGAGGTTGGTTTTGTGAGGTTTGGTGATTTCGTCGTTATGGTGAAAACTGAGGAGTATATTAAAGTATGTATAGAGAACGGTAAGAGATGTTTACCGTTCGAAGACAATTGTCGCTCCGCTCCTCCTCCAATTGTTGTCTGAAAACGGTAACTCTTATAGCGTAATAGGAGTAACCCGTGGTGAGACCAGTCGCCCTCCCGTTGAGCAGAGACTAGAGCCGAGAACGTCTCATGCTGAAGAAGAACCCCTTGCGACGACGTTACCAACAGGTATGTACGATGTGCCCGAGTGGCCTTAGCAACGTCTACCCCTGAGCGTGTTAATGTAGCGAAAAAATCCAATGCTGGTGATTCGGATAAGAGTTGGAAAGATGTTGTAATTGGATTTGTTCGGATAAATAATCACCCTGTATTATTTCTGAGAATGTTTGAAAGGTATTGGGAGATCAGTAAGTTTCCAGTTGCGGAAAAGTTTAATTTTGTGCGGGGTTGTTCAGGGAAGAGAGCGCTTGATTCGGTGTTGATGAATGAAGATAAATGGCATAGTTTTGAGGATTTTAGGAGAGAGTTTTCGGACGTTTTTGGTTTGGGGAGGTACGTCGCACCGAACGGTTGAAGCTTTTGACGAGAAGATTTTCTTGCGATAGACATTTGTCAATGCCCGAATATTTCTCAAACAGACAGTTGCAAAATTAGTATTACAAAACCAATACTGAGCCTGCCTCGAAGACCGAGTGAAATCTAAAGGCGTTCCACTGTTATTAGATCATTCCGGCTGGGCTATTTACTATTAAGTAAGTACCGTATCGACAGTATTCGCAACTTTTCCTTAACTAGGATCACGGTCGAATACGGTACAATCGTCAGTTGATGCGACACCGTCGTCTTTTCGCCTTGAACGAAACTCATAACTGTACCTATATACGAAACTATAAACATTTCCAATGTTAAAAGGAATCGTTCCAAGAAGTAAACTATTCCCAATTACATAGGTATTGGTGATATTGAAAACGTCACAATCCGTTTATTCCTCGCAGTCGTAGTTCAAAAAGTTTACCTACTGCTTTATTTTCTACTACTATGACGATACAAATACTACCTTTTTACTTTTTAAGCTTTAGGGCCTTTTGTTAAGGCCAGCCAGATTGCCCGAAACCAATTCAAAAATTGGTGTATATTAAAGATGGACAGTACGAAGATTCGCCAGATCAGTATCCCGGAAATCGACTTACTGTTATTGAATAGCTTTTGAAGACGCAGTTCTTCTGCTTGAAGCCAATAACGTCAGCATTACCGACATCTTAGGCATTTTCGGTAGTTTGATGAAAAAAATATACCAGACTAGAACAGAGCTTCTTTGGTGAAAGAACGATAGATCCAATGCATATAAAAATTTCGCCAAACAATACTTTCTGAGCAGTACCAACGACTTGCTCTGCATTTTGTCAAAGAACAAACTTGATCATCATGAGATTACTTTTGATGCACTGTCAACCGTTCTCGGTAGCCTACCTAATAGATTCATTGTCAACAGCGCTTCATTGTTTGATGAATTTGGATCTTCTGCATAAGATCTATCAACTTTTCGCAAAGGGGGAACATTTGAGAAGTTCAGCAGATGCTGAAAAAATGGGTATACATTTTAGGGAATGAACTAGCATATGTAAGCAAAGTTGCAAGTTTTATTTTTAGCACACCGTGTACAACGGCTTATGTGGAAAGAGAATTTTCAATAATGAGTAATAAATGGAGCGATAATAGAAATAAAAGGAATAAAGGATGACTTTTCTATAAGGACAAACAGTTAGTTTTCGAAATATCGTGGACAGCAGACGAAAAAAAGTTAAAGTAATAACAGACGCAGCTAGACCAAAAGACGTTTTACAAGTAAGGCCCTTTATTGGAATGGTCAACTATTTCTAAATACATTCAGAACTTGGAGGTACCTAAGTATATGGAATAAATAGGCAATTGTGTTAATACACCTTGCCTATTTATTCCATATACTTACCTACAATAAACCATAGGCAAACAATGGATAAATTCGTTAACCAGACATTCAGAACTGTTTAAAAATGTTATTATTTTTATGTATGATTTCATTTGTAAAGGGATCGAATACTGATAGACGAGGAACCATTTCACAGTATAAAGAAATGACTTCAGATAGGATTTTCGTTTACTATGATCGTAGCAAAGAGTTAATTCTACCATGCGATAGTAGTACTTACGGGATAGGTGTAGTATTATTGCATGTTACGAGAGTAGAACGTGCATAATTTAAATTTTTACATAAGACGATCAATTTGTGTCAAATATGGCAATGGGGGGGGGGGGGGGGGGGGCAGCCCCACGATTTTTTCTGGTGGACAGCACCTAAACCTGGTGCCAAGGGTATATACAGGGTGAGGTTTTTTCATTTTAAGCATTAGGATCTCGGAAACAGTAAGACATAGAGATTCGGTTAAATGAGGAAAGAGTTGTCGTTTTAAGAGCTTATTCAAGATATGCTTTTGTTTTTTGAATAAAATCCACAGTTTACTAGATATGAGCGAAAAACAGATTTAGTGATTTTTCATTTAACTGTTGTAGAATCGTTAGTATTAGAAATACAGAAATATGCAAAGAACAAAAACTGTAGATTTTTTCCGCTTAATAAGATACATTTATTAATATTTATTCTTCTTTTATAATTTTCGAGTTATAACTTACATTTGTTTAAACGGTAATCATAGTTGGCTGCGACATTTTTAAAAAGTGCATTTTTTTCTGTTTACAATTATATAAGGTGCATGTGACTTTGACAAATAAACATGATACAGTACTGTTTGTATTATTAAGAGTAGTAAAAACAGATTTTGCCATGGGAAACATTTTTGTTCTCTTAATTACTGTCTATTATAATATTTGACTTGCAGTTAGTTGTGCGGAGGGGCACCGTTGTGTTAAAACCAGCGTAAATTACGTTGTGTTTCCAAATCTAACCCATCCTACATATCTTGAAATTCATTTGGTAGAAAATGAAGATAACATTAGCCTGTCCAATTTTCGTCGTAAATGAAAGGTACCTATCTCACTAGATATTGTTTTCCATGGCCAACTCTGTTTACTTACCTCTCAATAATACGAAAATTACTGCAGGGCGTTTATTTATTAAAGTACATTTAGCAAGCCTTATATCGTTATAAAGGGAAAAATTTGTCCTTTTTAAAAATGTCAAAGCCAACTATGACTACCATTTAAAAAAATTAAAGTTTGTATTATAACTCAAAAATTGAAAGATCTAAAAATAAATTAGCATGTTCATCATGTTAACCCTTTCGGCCCTTGAGGTGGCATTTGCCACCACCTATTTTTAAAATTTTTTACCGTCATGCCATCTAATGATCATATTATAAAGAAGACACCTAATGTTATGTACAGTTTCATCACGGTGTAAGAGAGTAAGGTACTCCGACGACTGTACGAAAGTGTCCCGGAACGTGCAACGCTTGGGCGGTGACGGAGAAAGCGTTCGTTGGTTCGGTGTGTCTCACTCGCATTAGCCTCCCATTGACTATCCGCGACGTTATGAGAATTAGCTCCTTTTTGGTAATTAATTGGGTACTCATTAACTCACAATTAATTACAATAGCTTATGAATGAATGTTATTTACTAAAAAAAATAACTTGGCCTAATGGTATCACATTAATTGTATTTAATGAATGATAGAAAACACCGTCATACCGCTCACGATCCTTTTGAAGGAATGTTATTCTTTATACGCAACACGGAAAAACGCAATAATTGTTTTTTTATTAAAACAGCTGCTACTTTTTGTTTAAGTGATAGATAGCCTAGATACGCAGTTTTTACAAAATATTTCGTTTAAAATAGGTATTTAGTTCTGCTGCAGCCGCGATTCTTTTCTTTTTATGGCAGATTTTGGTTTCGATTTTCTTACTTCTTGCTTATAATACTGTTTAACTCTCATAATTATGTAGAAATACAGCGTCTGAGATAATATATCTCTTTTGTGCTCCTGACAATTAAAAGTAAAGGAAAGTCCCACTTCGTACACTTTAGAAACTGTCTCTTCAAAAACGTCCACAGAATTGATGTGAGTGATGAGTATCGACTCCACTTCTTTCAAAAATTGGAACATCGACGTATTTGGATGGTTTAAAAATCCTCGGGACTTGAGTTGTGTCAACTCGCCTGCGTTATCATCAAAAATCTGTTCCTTAGAATAAAGAAGTGATTTACATGTGATACTATGACTTAATTTAAATAATTTTTTTGAAATAAAGCCTGCTAAGTAGTAAACTACACAGTCCATTATTTTGGATAAATAATTAGTATCATCATTATTCAAGGTATTCTGTAGATTTACATCTTCAAAAACATCCTCAGCCTCAGTGTCTTGATCTTGTTGCAATAGATTATCTATTTTCCCTTTAATCGCAGTTAAATGTGTTTGTCGTCCAATTTCAGGTGCCGAAAATATATTTTTAAAGTCTTCAAAACTGATTTTTGGAGCTGACGTTCTATCTATAACTGTGCAGTTGCCAAATGCAGGTGGTTTAAAAATCTTGTACACAGAAAGTAAACGATACAGCTGAAGAAATGTCATAAATGTTGGGTGGTCATTAGCGCCACCAGCTTGCCGAATGATCCCAAAAACTGCTGAAATATTTAAGAGAATGAATAGTGCAGTAGTACTTAATAAACATGACCCTTGTAGCATAAAATACCTACCTCTAAAGGGTCCTGATTCATTTTTGCAGTTAAAATGTATCGAAAA